GGTTTAGTCCACTTTTGTATCCTTCCCTTCAAGGCTCAGGGGTCCAAGATTATCTTCTGTGTCTGTGTTAATTGGTTTCCCTTTTCTTTGTTGAAGAGCGTCTGTGCAGTCCTTGTGCCTAGTCTGCCATCTTCCTAACTCTCTCATCTATTTATTTATTTATTTGTGGGGTAAATACTTAGCCCTGGAATTTTGTACATATTTTTGGGAAGGATTTTGGACTAAAATGGAAAAGACATACATACAGAGTGAAATCATTAGTTGCTCTGAGGTTTAGGCCAGCCTTGTAAATAAGAAAATTAATTTGAACAAGAGATTTTAATATCAACTCTTCTGAAAAGGTTTCTTCCTCTTATTTTTAATAAATACCCAAATGTTTAATAATGCTTTTGTATATGCTATATAAGCACTGTTTTTTACTTGTAACAGAAAGCTCTAATAAATACTATTTGTAAGTCTTTGGTTAAAAAAGGATGTTGGGAGGGATAAAGTATTTTTGAGAAGTAAACTCTAGTATGACCAAAGCTTTCAAACATGGATCAAGGATTAGTTATAAAAGGGATCTTTAATGGTTAAGTTTTTGCTTCACTGTATTATGTTTAACCTTAGGCTATTTGTATATGGGCACATGGCTAATTTAGAAGATGTCAGCTCATCCAAAACCATGGATAAAATTCAATCCCTTGTGTTTTCACCACTTACATTTGGACATCAAAAGAAAACCAAACTCACTACCACTGAGCCAATTCCAACTCATAGTGACCCCTTTTTGGTTTCCAAAGTGGTAAATCTTTACAGAAGTAGATTGCCCAGTCTTTCTTCTACGGAGTGGCTGGTGGGTTTGAACCGCCAACCATCTGGTTAGCAGTCAAATGCCTTAGGCACTATGCCACCAGAGCTCCTGGATATATACAATTCTAGAAATCACTTTTGTTTAAATAATGAAAACACACTAACATGACCTTCGTGGAAGATGCTGTTACTGTTAGGTGGAACTGAATCAATTTTTACTCCTAGTGATTCCCATGTAACAGAGTAAACTGTCCCGTTGGGTTTTCTTGCCTGTCATCTTTACAGATGCATATTGCCATGTCTTTCTCCCAGAGTGGCTGGGTAGGACTGAACAGTCAGCCAACCTTTTGGTTAGCAGCAGGGCACTTAACCATTTGTGCCACCAGGGCTCCTTTTTTTTTTTTAGAAGAAGCAAACATTTAAAGTTTATCCATCCTGTGCAACTCTGTCCTCTGCATCTGAAGCCATCTGGAGCACCCTCTTTAGCACAAAATGTAGAAAAATAACATTTTGGTTGGAATACCATCATGCTAAGTTGTAGGCTGAGAGTGGGGAAAGAAATAAGATGTTTGAATAAGGAAAGCCAAGGGTATTATCACTAATTGAGTTCAACCGTGTCAAAGAATTCCTGAAAATCTATTTCTCAGGATAATCTACCACCCAAAATAAGCTGCCAAAGCTTTCTTTTTGGCTTTGTTATGCCTATATGGAGAAAATTCTAGAAGAATAGTAATCATACAGCCATGTTCAACTGCAGTTGATAAAAATTTTACTCTATATGCAGCCTCCAAGTAAATCAATTAATTACTCCCATTACTTACAAGGGGAGTTCTGGTAGCATAGTGTCTAAGGCACCTGACTGCTACCCAGGAGGCTGGTGGTTCAAACCCACCAGCCACTCCTCAGAAGGAAGGTTGGGCAATCTACTTCCATAGTGATACTGTCTTGGAAACCCAAGGAGGGGTTGCTATGAGTCAGGTCCGACTTGGCAGCACATAACAATAACATTACTTACAAGACTCAAAAATAGAAAAGTAACACACTTGTGTTGGTATTATATAATTTTTCTTCAAACACCCATTTCCTACCTCAATGTCTTTTCCCATGAGCCATGATTCTTTAAGTGAGCATAATTCAGGCATTTTCCAGGAGCTCTCTTTTGAATCAATGTTGTAATAATACTCATATTTGTCCTGCAGAGTGAACTTGAGCCACGGACCTTCATTACACACTGAGGAAGTAAAAGAGAATTAAATTTTATAGAAGAACACTGAACGCTTAAAACATTAGTGTCTTTCTTTCAACATGTAAAATAATCTAATGGATATGCTTTTAACAAAGCATTCAGATGGTCTACATTAGAGCCATCAGAAATGAGCCACTGAAGTGGAATGAATTCTATACATTCAACAGGAGTTCCTTGCTTAGCCAAGGAAAAGGAGGAGGCACAGATGTATAGTGTTTGCTTGTTGTTATTGTTATGTGCTGTGGAGTTGGCCCTGACTCATAGCGACCCCTCCTTGGGTTGCCGAGGCAGTATCACTACGGAAGTAGATTGCCCAACCTTCCTTCTGAGTGTTTGCAGTGGACTCTAATATTTTCACGAAGATGACAGGTGTACAAACTGGCCAAAGAGAAAGAAAAGAAACAGGAATATATGTCCCTGGTAGATGTGAATAACACCACAAGTAGACAGGAGACCAATGAGCAAGATCCTCTTTGCTTAGAAAGTCTTTTGGTAACCGAATTTCTCTGATGGGAGTAGCTTACACAGGCTGTGGCCCACATTTAAGGAGGGCCAATGATCTGCATTAAACCAAAGCAAAAGCAATTAACCTTGGAGACAAAGTCATTAAAGTACAGAACGGCATATGTATCACACAAAGTTCACCAAGTATTTTTTGTTTTTGTCCAATAGGGACAAAGACAATATGTGTGGTCTCTCTGGCTTACCTTGCTTACGTACCTACACAAAATAAGAAAAAGAATGTTGAAAAGGATTTACAGTATTTTTATGCACATAAAGCACATTAGATGATTTTTTGCAACTGCCCCCTTATAAGTTAGCATCCTTGAGCACTGTGTGCTATGTAGTGCCTAAGGCATTTGACTGCTAACCAGGAGGCTGGAGGTTCAAACCCACCGGCCACTCCTCGGAAGGAAGGTTGGGCAATCTACTTCTGTAGTGATATTGCCTCAGAAACCCAAGGAGAGGTTGCTATGAGTCAGATCCGACTCGACGGCAGTGAGTTTGGTTTTTATTATACATCAAAATATGGATTTTTTTTTTTTTTTAAGTGGGGCTGGAAAAATCTATGGCAGTCATCACTTAAATCATTCAAGAAGAACACCTCTTTCTCATGAATCCACTGGCTATACGCCATATTTATAAATATGCTTATTCTGTCATGTGGTCACAACTCTTGAACCCAATACAATAACAACAACAATGCAAGCTCTAACTTAGGTCAAGCTAAGTTAACTGCTGCCAACTGAGCATTAGACTCATTCCTTTTATAGGTAAATCCAAGTTGACATGAATTTCCGCATAAGAATAAATGGACCCAAATAACTAAGCAGTAGTAAGTAAAGCCCTTTAATGTATGCTGACATTTTCTTTGGTTTTAAATGTCTCTCAGCCCTTCTTTCTATTTGTTAATATCCCACAAAGGGAGATATATCTCTCTCCAAATGGACAGTCAGGCAGCAGCTGTTCATTAGTATACAAATGTTAGAGATTACTAGAAAATACATTGTATGATCTATTAGGATATCCATAAGTAATAATTATAAGTCACCAGTAAGTATCAGATTCATAAATGGTTTTAGAAGAATAATCACTCTTCTTAAGGCAACTCTATCGGTGGGAAGGAAAGAGGTAAGCAAAGATGGAGAAAACATAACTATTTGATAGGAACTGAGAAGTGAGAAGTTCTTAGTTAAAAGTCAACCACAATGGCAATGTTATGTGCCATTGAGTCAGACCTGACTAATAGCCACCCCTCCATGGGTTTCTGAGGTGGTATCACGACAGAAGTAGATTGCCCAACCTTCCTTCCAAGGAGTGTTTGGTGGGTTTGAACCGCCAGGCTTCTGGTTAGCAGTCAAATACCTTAGGCACTACGTCACCAGAGCTCCTACAATGGCATTAGGAGGCTTCATTTGAGTTGGGATGGCAGTGGGTAACAGCAAAGAAGAATTCCTTTTGTTTTTATATCTAGTTTGAATATATAATGAGACCAGAAGCTGAGGAGAGCTAGCTTCTAGCACAGGGTCCAAGTATTTATTCCCAAGAAATGTAGTTAGTTTGTTACTGGAAAAAGGCTAAGCACAGGCATTTGGGGGAAACATAACAGAGAAAGATTCCTGTTAGGATTCCTAAAAGGAGGCATGCTTTCCAGATGCCTTCAAGAAGAAACCTGTACTATATTTAAGAGTAATGCTGATCTATAAGGCTGAATGATCTATCTAAGAATGAACACTTCAACTTGGCGAAGAGGAGACATTCTAGAACCAGAGGTGAAAGAGATAAGAATAAACCATCCTCTCCACTCCCAGAAACTATGTTCACAGCCCTGTTTGGGGGTTACAGTCTCTAATTGCCTGGAAAGTTTCTCTTTAGAACAAGGAAGGCCTGGCAAATATTTTTCTGTAAAGGGCCTTCAAAACATATTACAAAGCTACAGTGATGAAAACATGGTGGCACTGTATTGGCATAAAGACACAGCCCAACGGAATACAACTGCACAACATTTTTGCCTTAAAATTAAGAAACACAGCATTACAGAAATCATCATAGTCAACATTTTATTTAGTCTGTACAAAGTAAAGAAAAAAGCTTACCGTGTTCAGATTTGCACTCTTTTGCCTTCAGAAGAGCATCGTAGTACTTGTCAGCACACTCAGGGATTATGTCATTTGGATTCTGACTGGAAGATGTCAATATAGACAAAATATCACTTGACTTTTCTCCTTCCAAAAACTGGTTAACATCAATGACCAGAGTGACCCCTGGATGATGAAAATAATGCTTCTGTTAGTGGCTGCCTTCTGCTTCCCCTGATGGCATGCAAAGATGTAATGTAACCTTCTAGGAATGGAATGCATTGCCATTAAACCTTCTAACTCTTTTGCAATTGTTTTTGTGACTTATGGATACCACGTGTATTACAGACTAGAACTGTTCCATGGGCTTTTCTCATCTGTATTCTTTACAGCAGCAGATCATTGGACCTGTTTTTCTAGCAGTGCCATTGAGTGGGTTTGAACTGCCACTTTTTTGTTTACCAGCTGAGGGCAAACCATTTGTACCACCAGGGACCTTCCTTTTAACTCTTGGAGAGAATGTACAACGTATACTCAAGGCAGTCACCAATTCACCTATAGGTTATAAGAATAATAAGATCTTACTGGAACATGGTTAGTAAAATTGCAATATTTTCTTACTCAATATTGGTTACTCTCATGTGCTATCAAGACATTAGGTTTTTGCTTACTACAAGTAATCTATGAAGTGGAGTGAATATACCACAATAGGAATGAAGTTCTGGCTACGTCATTAATCAGTATTTGAGAACCAGCTTTATGATGACATTTATGTATTTTAGAAAAAGTAAAATGCTGTTGGAACCGTGGCAGATCTGATAGTCTCTTGTAAAAAACCAAACCAAACACACTGCCATTGAGTTGGATCTGACTAATCGTGACACCTCCTTCAGTTTCTGAGGCAGAATCACTACAGAAGTAGATTGCTCATCCTTCCTTCCAAGGAGTGGCTGGTGGGTTTGAACCACCAGCCCTCTGGTTAGCAGTCAAATGCCTTAGGCACTACGCTACCAGAGCTCCTTTCATGGAACTCCCTTACACAACCTAAACAGATGATCTAGGAAGGCACATCTGGTGGATATGTATGATGGAGTCCAGAAAATTCAGTCTGGAACCACTTTAAACCTGGAAAGCATGCATTTTATACCACTTCAAATTTCTGACTCTCCCCATAAAGAAAACCACACTGAACTCTTGGGTGCCTAAAGAAAGTTAACTTGGTGAATTCTTTATGATCCATGTAAGAATGTTCTGGACCAACCAATGGAACTACTGTTTTCACAATGTGTATATACACTAAATTAGAAACATAGAACAAAAAAATGAAACAAACCAGGTTAAACTATCTTATGGATGAAAAAAGATGAAGAGAAATGTATGTATATATATGAAACCAAAAAGACTCACTGCTGTCGAGTTGATTTTAACTCATAGCAATCCCTCCTTGGGTTTCTGAGGTGGTATCTCTACAGAAGTAGATTGCCAGACTTCCTTCTGAGGAGTGGCTAGTGGGTTTGAACCACCAGCCTTCTGGTTAACAGTCAAATGCCTTAGGCACTATGCTACCAGAGCTCCTATGTATACATATATATATATATATATACACACACACACACACACACACACATATATGTATACATATCATATATGTGTGTATATGTATGATTATGTATGTGTAAGTATATTTGTGTGTGTGTATATATGTATATACATATAGTATGTATGTATATATATATACACACACACACACACACACACACACATATGCATATTATCTCAACCAAAACCAAACTCACTGTCATCAAGTCAATTTCGACTCATAGTAACTCCCTTTGGGTTTCTGAGGCAGTTAAATCTTTACAGTAGACTGCCCAGTCTTTCTCCCATGGGGTGGCTGATAGGTTTGAACCGCCAACCTTCTGGTTAGCAGTCAAATGCCTTAGACAGTATGCCACCAGAGCTCCACATATCTATCTATCTATCTATATGTCTTAATACCCATATGCCAAAGTCTACTATATAAGTACTAAATAGCACATTGTTGTTATCCAATTATGTTCACATGTGCACATCACTATGAGGGCTGAATGGGCAAGAAAAACAGTTCTGATTATGAAGACCCTGGAAGTAAAGTCATGTAAATGTGGAGGAAGACAAAAAGACTAAAGGAAAACTTCCATAAGGAAAGGTAATAGTTTCCGAACAAGGGTATAATAGCTATGTCCTCGTGCTTATTAAGGTTAATAGGAAGTGAGAAAACTGGTCCTCTTTCCTCTTTGTGGTAGTTAAATTTGTATGTCAACTTGGCTGGGCCTGGTTGAGTGGCTGGGCAGCTGGTGGTAGTTATTTCCCATGATGAGACTGGCAATCAACTCCACGGTGGTATCTACCACAAGCAGCTGAGTAGTTGCCTTTGGGATGTGGACTGCTTCCTGTATATAAGGAGAAGCCTTGGGGATAGTCTCTAGCTTATGGCATGTTTGGACCCTGCATGTAGCCATGTTGTTGTTCAGCAGCCTGCCATGCCCCACTGACCCTGGGACTTACAATGGACTTGAATTAATGGCCTGTCGCGTGGTTTGGTAACATCAGGACTGTGTCATTTTATTTGTTGACCTTGGGCTTGTTAGCCTCAGCAGCCAGTAGCTGCCTGAGTGAAGAAACGCCTCTGGCTTCAGTGGGCCGGGAGCAGGAGGCAGAGCTGGACCCCAAAGTAGAAGGGCTTTCACCCAGACCCTAGAGCCTGGCACTTTGAACTCGGACATCTAGCCTCCAAACTGTAAGAGAATAAACTCCTGTTTGTTAGGGCCATCCCATTTGTGGTATATTCTCATCAGAGTGGCACTCGGTAACCATAACACTCTTCTTCAGGAAAGCTGTACAGGATGAGGAAAAATGGGAGTACTGGTGTTTGAAAAGCTTGTGGTTTGACAGTTGTAGAAGGAGTAAGTAAATGGCAAAGGATTCTTCTCACATGGATTACATCTGATAGCTTCATCTAACCATCTAAACTCAGTAAAATGTCTATTTCCATAAAAGGGGGTATTTTAGAGACATATATTTCTTGCTTATAGGAATGTTCTTCATTATTGAATATTGATGTACAAGGAGCTAGGCCACAGGTTAGTCTTCCAGATAACTGAAGCTTATTCCTTTACATATTAAGACTTAACTTTAATAACATTTCTCAAGAAAATCTGAAACGTGCCTTGGAGAAGACTCTAAGAATGGAATGGTCTTTATCCTGCTTATCTTTTTAGCCCTAGTCCCTGGTACACAGTAGGTACTTAATGTTTGCTCAAAGCTGCCAGGAGACTCTTTTATGTCATTAAGGTTACATGTGTTATAACATAACGAGTGATGCTTTTAAGGACGATGGGCGTGTGTAGACTTTTCTGCTCCTATACAACCTGTTGCCATCAGGTTGGTTCTGATTCATGGTGACCCCAAGTGTTACAGAGCAGAACTTCTCCTAAGGCTTTTCTTGCCTGTAATCTTTATGGAAGCAGATTACCAGGCCTTTCTTCTGTGGCACCACTGGGTGGGTTCAAACCACCAATCTTTTGGTTAGTGGAAAAGCACAAACTCTTTGTGCCACCCTGGGACCTGCTCCTGCACAATATGGCCTGAAACTCCCTATGCTTTTTAGAATCTTCCCCCACTTCATTTGCTATCAGCTAATTCTTCTTGTTACTGTCAGTGTGTCTGCCTATGGTAACCCAAACACTTAACTCTGTATAATTTACTGTCTCTGACGTGCTCCAAGTCGAGAAGAGAAGCAACCAAGAATAGGGGAGTTATACCTAAGGTCAGAACAAACAGGCCCAAGGTGTCTGTCTGAGGGGTCTCCCATGAGTAAAGCAGGTTGACCCCCACGCATAAGTTTTGAGACTTCTAGTTTGACTGCTTTAGTGTTTAATTTGTGGGTTTGTGGTTGAGTTTCAGATAGTTAAGGAAGTCAGGTTAATGATCTCCAGAAAATGAGTTATGTTTCTGCTAAGAAACAAATAAGAAACGTTCCTTAAATCTCCCTAGAGATCCAAAAATATGTCTGCTGTACATTTTAAACCATGTACCAGCAAGCTCTCAGTAAGGCATGCATTATCGAGTGGGCGATATCACTCCAACAGGGCAAAAATTGGTTCTTAGGGTATGTGTGAAAAATATTTTTATGTATAATGCACAGATCTGCAGATAGTACATAAACAGGTAACACGCGTTTGGTAATAAAATTCTATGATGGGGGCGATTAAGGGGAAAACATGTCTAAAAGACTTAGGGGCAATAATGAAAAATAGTTCAGAAACACTGCTCTCAGGATTCCTAATAGAGCGAACACCCTTCATGCGAGCAAGACCTTCCAGTGAAAATGGACACTGAGTCCAGTGAAGCAGACTAGAGCTCCTCTGCCCTTTCCAATCTTGCCTGTGGTAAAACCTATGGGCACACACATTTTCTCTTATCAGATTATCTGAGAGTGGGTTTAATGCTTAGAACATGTGACTAGAATCTGTTTCAAGTCTTCACAAAAAAAAGGATGGAAAATGTTTTTAAAATTAAGATTAAATTCCTTGTTGAAAAACCGGAAAATTCTCATCTTAATGTCAGAATGTGGATGTTTTTTTAACTTCAGAACATCTTTTTTTGCAATGATAAATTGTTGAAGAAAGTGTATCAACTGTCCTAGGAATGGGGCAGAAGGAGAGGAAGGATTTCCAATGTGTCAAGTATGCAATATAAAAATCACACATATTTAAAAAAACCTCTCTGGCATGTTAGAGTCAACAGACTCTGAGTCTCAATGTAACAATCAATTTAACATCTGCAGGACAAACATAAGAACAATCTAGAAGAGAAGGAGTAAAACATCTTCTTAAATTGTTTTACTCTCTAAAAGAAAACTCATGAACCACTTTGGGCTCTTTGAGTGTCTATGCAGAGCAGTTGCGTCCTGCACATATGGGGTCATCATGAGCCAGAACCAACTTGACAACAACTGACAATCACAACAGCAATTACAAACTAACTTCTTAAAATGTTTCTCCAGACTATGGCTGCTGACATTTGTATATTTAAACGTAAATCTTATATATGTCTCCATTTTAATTATTTTTTTCTTTCTTGAAATCTAGACTGTTAGAAAGGGAAGACTTCAAAGTTCCTAAGGGTATAAAAGTTCAGGTTGGAGAAATACAGATATTTTTCCAGGGTATGGGAATAAAAACCAGATGTTTCTTACAGATGCTTCCAAGGTTTAAAAACACATCTGTGAAGCAAGATGAAGGCATCTCAACAGCATCCTATGACCTTACACAACAGAATAGATTCTAAATTATGCCATGACTGGTCAGGTTAATGAACTATACGTTTAAGAATCTTAACTGATGTAGGTTATTAGAATGCTTTGAACATTAGTGTACCATTTAGAAGCTATTTTAAATTGTCCTGGAAATTTTCATACCATACCTCCTTGAAAACAGAAGCTTAAAAAGGATTTACAATTTGAATCATGAAGGACACAAAAGGGAGAATATGCCTTTACGAAGGAGAAATAGGCTAGTTTCCTAATGGATCAAGATGAAGAAGGATTTGGTTCAGTTATGAAATTTGAGAGGTCAGAAATAGTGTTTTTGCACCCTGGATTTTGTTCAGCATCATTCTGAAATAATGGAGATAGACTATAATCGCTGAACCCAATATAATTAATCAATCTTAGTTTTGTATAAATATATATTCAAGGTCTAAAACGTGGCCAGAGTCCAAATCTTTTCAGAAATTAAAAATTATATGATTCTAGCATCTAAATTTACAAAAAGGCAACTTCAGCAGGGAAAGACGATGAGTGCTCACATCTTCTCACTCTGTCCTTGTTCATGTTGGCCTCATCGACCGCCTGCTGTATCTCCTCCAGCCAAAGAACTTTGGAAGCAGACTCAGAATCCTGGAAACAACGTCACAGAAAAGATAGAAAGAACAGTGAATGAAGATGAAACTGATGAATAACTCCTTATTAGAAGTCACTTTATAAAAGTTTTCACAAAGATTTATTTAGCGGTTACCAAGAAGCACTGTTATGTACTGTAAATGCTACTTATGAAATAGACCCAATCTGATCATTTGTCACCTCCCAAACAGCTGCAAAAAAAAAAAAAAAAAAAAAACCAAACCCGTTGCCATAGAGTCGTATCCGACTCATAGTGACCCCTCCTTGGGTTTCCGAGGTGTTATCACTATGGAAGTAAATTGCCCAACCTTCCTTCTGAGGAGTGGCTCGTGGGTTTGAACCACCAGCCTTCTGGTTAGCAGTCAAATGTCACTGGTCTCCTATTCGCTTTCATTGCTTCCAAGTTTGCCCTCTACCACAGTGGTTTTCTACAGAGAACCAGATGATCTCCTACAGATGTACATCTCAGCACAGTCATTCCTCTGCTTATAATCTGCCAAAGGCTTCCCCTGCAGTTACAGTAAATACAGACTCACTTCCCATGGACTGTGAGGCTTTAATGATCTGGCTCTGTCTAACCCCCTGGCTTCACCTCACATCCCTCTGACTAGTTTTCACTTATCTTTTAGAGCTCAACTCAAATGCTACCACCTTCACAAAGCCTTCCCTGACTGCTCTAGCTAAATACTCTCTGCCCTCCTTCTCACTGCCATTGAGTAGATTCTGACTTACAGCGACCCCTCCTTGGATTTCTGAGGTGGTATCTCCATGGAAGTAGATTGCCCAGTCTTCCTTCCGAGGAGCGGCTGGTGGGTTTGAACCGCCAGCCTTCTAGTTAGCAGTTAAATGCCTTAGGCACTAGGCTAGTCACTCAATAACTGTGGTTTCCCAAATTATGTGCTAAGATGCCCCAGGGTGTCATGGGATACATTAAATTTGAGGAAAACATAGTGATACTTGACATTTATTAAACATAGAGACAAAAACAAAGAAACAAAGCCATGGTCACTCCCTCAAGGAGTTGACAATCTAATAAAAGGGAAAGACGTGTCAAGAAATAATTATAATACAAATGGGATCAGTGTAATACTAGCTGTAGATACATACTATAAATAGCTGTGCAGGGATTAATTTATGGTAGGAGTACTGAGTTGCAGAAGGAGGAAAGACCAAGTAGTTAAGGATGGCTTCAGAGAGGAAATGATGGCAGCAACTAAAATGGACTGAATTATCTTACAATTCTGCCTTTGGATTGATCTGATGATCCTGCTACAAATGCAATGCTAACATATAATTTATCACGTGGGACTTCCAGCTAGCAACTATGCTTTATAAAAACTAGTCAAAGACTGCAAGTAAATTTTGCTATCAAGAGGTAGAAATTAAATATTTTTAGGGAGGATGGGATGGTCCATTTAAAAACTGGGAATATTTGCTTATGTGTATGAGTAAGTGTCATAGCCTAAATCCTAAAGCAAAATAGTGATGAGTAGGGCTAGCAATTCTGGGCTTGAAGCTACAGGATACTCTGGAAAACCAACCTCATCATTTAGGACTCAAGGTAGACAGGGGCAGGTAGGAGAAATAACATTCTCCAACTCCTCTAGCAGGCTTCCAACCCTATTTCCCTCAGAGGCGAAAATGGGTAGAAAGGGCTCTGAAAATGAGACGAAACGTCTGCTGTAATTTCTTCCTGCAACATGCAGGCTGACAGAAACCACTGGGGGAAGGAAGGGTTGGCCCTGCTTCCACAATTATCTCTAGCCAGATCTGCCACATGGAATCCAACAGCTGTTAGTAAAATGTTCTATTTCTTTTGACAACGGATGGAGTAGGTTCAACAGGAAGCAGGATGGGAAGACAAAGACAAGAGGAGGAGTGAATGGATGAGGGTACTTTTTTCTGTATTCTCAAACCCAAAGATAACTCGTTATTTCTATCATCTAAAAACTAAGCTCTAAATAAGTTCTCTTAGGGCTGTCTTCTTCTTATTATTATTTATTTTTGGAAGGGTATTTAACCAGCAGAAACTATCTAGATGAAAAGAAAATGACAATCCCGCTTTAAAGTATTAGTTTTACAAGCCAAATTAAAGAGAGACTTTGTAATCAAATGAATATAAGTCAACAGTTTAAATTGTGACACATTAAACCAAAGATAGATGGAGTTAAATATAAAATCAAGAGTGAAAACTGAATTTCACCCAAGTTACGTGGTCTTTTCAAAGTGTATTACCAGAAACTGGAAATTGTTATTGTTAGATGCTGTCGAATCAGCTCCGAATCATAGCAGCCCTACGTACAACAGAATGAAACACTGCCAGTCGTGCACCATCCTCACAACCCTTGCTACACTGGAGCCCATCATTGCAGCCAATGTGTCAATCCATCTCCTTGAGGGTCTTCCTCTTTTCCTGTCCCTCTACTTTACCAAGCATGATATCCTTCTCCAAGGAATGGCCCCTCTGACAACATGACCAAAGTAGGTGACATGAAGTCTGGCCATTCTCACTTCCAAGGAGTGATTGATTGAACCTGTTTGAACCTACCCCATCCGTTGTCAAAAGAAATAGAACATTTTACTAACAGCTGTTGGATCCCATGTGGCAGATCTGGCTAGAGATAATCACTTCCAAGGAGTGATTGATTCATGGGTGTTGATTGTGGGTCCATGGAAAATGAAATCCCTGAAAACTTCAATCTTTTCTCCATTTATCGTGATGTTGCTTATTGGTCTAGTTGTGAGGATTTTTATTTTCTTTGTGTTGAGGTGTAATCCATCCTGAAGACTGTAATCTTTGATCTTCATCAGTAAGGGCTTCAGGTCATCTTCACTTTCAGCAAGCAAGGTTTTATCATCTGCATATCACTGGTTGTTAATGAGTTTTCCTCCAATCCTGATGCTGTATTCTTCTTCATACAGTCCAGCTTCTCAGATTATTTGCTCAGCATACAGATTGAATAAGTATAACACACACCTCTACTTCTAGCTAAAACAGCCAGGTTCAACATGTCAATTACAGATGGATTAAATGAACAAAAACTAGGCCATGTACAAATCAAATAATACATTCCTGAATTTAGATGACTGCTAGAAATATTTCAATTAAATAAAATGTACCTATAATATTTTTTGGGTTTTTTTTTTGGTTATAATTTCTGCAATATAGTATTCTTTCTCAGTTTATGTTAGATATATATGTAGCTGAAGTCATAGACACTGACCTTGGATTGTAAAATTCTTATTTGATGAGATTTAATTGAAAGTTCACACAGATAAATTCTTAGCTCTATCCTTTAGCCTTTAAGTCTGGTGTGGCATTTGCATTTTCTGGCTCTGAATGCATTTTATAAGCAACAGGCTATTGGGCTCTCTGGTTTAAAATTTAAACTTAAATATCAGTTATTGTTGTTGTTATCTACTGTCGAGTTAGATCCGACTCACGGCGACCCCTCCTTGGGTTTCTGAGGCAGTATCACTTCAGAAGTATATTGCCCAACCTTCCTTCCGAGGAGTGGCTAGTGGGTTTCAACCGCCAGTCTTCTGGTTAGGAGTCAAGTGCCTTAGGCACTATCCTACCAGAGCTCCTTAAATGTCAGTAGTTATAGGAAAAGCTATTATAACACAGTTTTCTTTTTTGAGTGACTAAGAATATACAACAAAGAACATAAAGTTTACATAAAACCTTATGAGACATCTGTTCTCCAAAACTCATAGAAGAAAGGGAGTCCTCTGTACTTCAAAGCTCTGGTAGTGTAGTTCCTAAGGCATTTGACTGTTAACCAATAGGCTGGTGGTTCAAACCCACCAGTCACTCCTTGGGAGAAAGATTGGGCAATCTACTTCCATAGTGATACCACCTCAGAAACCCAAGGAGGGGTCGCTATGAGTCAGATCTGACTCAGTGAGTTTGTTTTTTTGAGTTCTGTACTTCAAAGTTGTCTTATAATTTTAGTTTCATCAAACAACATTGCTTAGAGGCTACTCCATTACCTGAATTAGAGGCTCAGGCCACATTGTTGTTGTTGTTATGTGCCGTCAAGTTGGACCCGACTCACAGCGACCCCTCCTTGGGTTTCCGAGGCAGTAGTGACGGAAGTAGACTGCCCCATCTTCCTTCGGAGGAGTGCTTGGTGGGTTTGAACCTCCAGCCTTCTGGTTAGTAATCAAATGCCTTAGGCACTATGCTACCAGAGCTCCCCAGGCCACACTGAGCAGTGACAAAAAGCAAACAAACAAAAGAAAATCCCCCAAAACAAGCAACAAAGAAGCAAAAATACCAAAAGGAAAAAAAAAAAAAAAGTTCTGGCCAGGTATTCACTGATGACAAATTCAGACCAATGTGACATAATGGAGAATTTTCAAAGTAGTCAAACACCCAAACACTTAACTACTTACAAATGTTTGCCTTCCAGGCTTAATTTAATTTATGTAATGAATTCAAAAGTTAACTTTTGAAATAGCTGGGAGGATACAAAAAAGGATGATTTCTGATGGCTCAATTATGAAGGGCAAACTGTGCTTTAAAAGTGGGTAAGAATGTAAGATGGGGCAGATTCCAAAGCACTGCATGCTTTCCGCTGTAGATACTCATAACTACAGTGTGGGAATTACAGCCTCCATTCAGGAAGGATTATTAGGGGTGGGTGAGAGTTAAAGGACTTTCTTGGGATAATGTAGCACGCTCTTGTTGGCCAGAGGCTCAGCCTGAGTCACTGCATACTGAAAATCCGTGGTGTCACACCCTTTCCCTGCAGAGGACCAACGCGAGTTTCCTGCTGCAGAGCACAGGGGAGCAAACTTCTCCTGAGACAAGGTTTCCATTTTCTACTAGCCCAGGGAACTGATGCCTGCTCCTTACTGTGTTCCCTAACTTTACACATCTGGTAACATTCGAGAACTGGGACTCAGGTCATGAAAATGAAAACTCTCATCTTTGCAGCTGCCGGGCTACTGCTTCTGCCACCCACTTTCTGTCAAAGCGGTAAGCTCTTTTCTTTGGGGTGGCATAGGGATAGTGGTTTGTTTTACATGTTGAGTCAACTGAACCTAATTTTCTTTGCATTTCATATGAACTGCAAACCAAAAAGGTAGAGCTCGATCTTAGTTATTCAATGGTGAAATCATGGAAATATCCACAGCTTGTTTACTCTATTCAAACCTTGTTACAGACAAGGTATTCTCTGCTGATATCTCTAAAGTTGTGGCCCAAATCGAGATTTTAGCTATCTGCAACTAAGTCAAAAATCAATTTTCTTTGTGAGAAGTTTTTGTGTTTTTAAGAATTTCCTTTGATTTAACCAAGATAGAACTTTTTCAAAGGATAAAAAGAAAAATCCTGTGTTTATAACTTCTGGTATAAACAAGATGGGAGGAAACGGGAATATTGCTAGACACAGCAATTCATCTGCTCAAATGCCAATGATGCTAAGATACTAATAATAAACTAGTATTTCCCAAATGAAATACCTTTTTGACTTTCAAGGGCAGGAAGGCATTCTGCCACCCTCATCTATGAATTTTTAATTTTAGAAATGATATCTCCCAAAGGTCATTATTTAACTGTTCATGAATTTCCTGTTTCACCTATAACAATGTTAGGCTGTACCCTGGTTGCTCCAAAATTAGCAAATTTATGATTGGTCTGCATCCACAACCTTCTACTGTTAGGTCATCTCCAGTCAACCTTGTCAGGAGGTGGACGAGGTTAGGGAGAGAAGACTACAATGAGGAAACTGCCATCAACACCACCCTTGTAAGGGTGACAAGAGCTCTGACGGTTAGAATCTGAGGTTATAAGGAAAGCTCTAGGAGACTGTGCAGACAGTAGCAGCGCATGTGGGATCTATGAATAGGAGAAGTAAGCACTCTTTCTGGGTGTGGATGACTCAAATTCTGAGTAGCAGAACTTCAAGAGAACAGAGGTTTGTGGAGGTGGTTCCTCCAAGATGCTGGTGGGCTTTGGTGAAATTGAAAAGAAGGGAACCTAAAGGGGGAAGAGTACGAAAAATCAAGTGAATATGCCTTCTTCAACTGGGGTAGGGGGAAAATGTCAAGCACTGAAGGAAGGAACCATTATCTAGTGGCTGAATTTTGGATCAGTACCCCTCTGTGCCTTTTCTCAGATAGAAAAACATTTCAGAAACATTATGCCATAGTGAAACTGGTATAAAGAGTTTTTTTTTTTTAAATAAAATTTTACAATGAGTGCTATTTTCAGGAAAACTGAGCTCTAAGGATTAAAAGACTTCTGTAAGCCGAACCAGATCTGGAATTCTAGTAGAAAATGGAATCCAGGCAGCTTTTCACAGTGACTGGTGTTTGTTTTTAGGCACTCTGTCTTGCTCAATCACAGGAATTTCTGAAAACCAACAACCACTTCATTTCTGCAGCTCTCTTACCAAATCCTGAAGAGAGATTATTTGTACAGCATGTTCTTAATGCATCATTTCCCAATTTTGTATCTATCTCAAAAGGCACACTTCTGTAGGTGATGTTAGATGCAAGAACTTTTCCAAAATACAAAAATGAGCAGAAAGATTTCTGTGGCTGAACCAAGTCTCACACAACATGCCTTCAAAGACTGCACGGAAGAGTGTCACCTCCCAGAGCTTCCTTTCCTTTTCTTTACTATCATTGCTTAAGTGACACCAATCACCCACACGTCTCCACTTGTTCAGGCAACACTCCCCCTCTATGTTACATGCTGAATTCACTTGTGAAATCTCAGGGTTATAGAGAGGCTTCAATTTTACCCTGGGGCTTACTGCTAAAGATTAAAGTAGGAAGAGAAACTAACTGAATGAGAAACACGTTACTAAACACTAACCTCAAATATTCAACAAATAGGAATTCAGAGGTCATGTGAAAAGATGTAACTGGCAGAACACTAACATCTTTAATTAATAAGTAAAACGCAACCACTGCTGTGGAGTCAGACCCCTCCTTGGGTTTCCGAGGCGGTATCACTATGGAAGTAGATTGCCCAACCTTCCTTCCCACGAGTGGCTCGTGCGTTTGAACTGCCAGCCTTCTGGTCAGCAGTCAAGTGCCTTATATTTGGGATCAAAGTCCATCTTAAGCTAACATTAGAAATCTGAGAAAATCTATTTTCTAGCGGAGTCCCTGAGCAGTGCAAATGGCTCATGTGCTTGGCTAACCAAAAGGTTGGTGGTTCAAGTCCACCCAGAGGCACCTTGGAGGACAGACTTGGTGATTTACTTCTGAAAAATCATCCACGAAAAACCCTACGGAGCACAGTTCTAATCTGACACAGCAAGGTAGCCATGAGTCAGAATTGACATGCTGGCAACTAGAATTTGCTATAACATGTCAAAGATTAATGGAAAAATTATATAATGATAGACAGGTTTGACCATTCAAGTTTATTTTGTTTATGAAATTGCCTTTTCAGAAATTAGAATTATTAGTATCTACATGCAATGTAATGCCAAATACTTATAGTATGTGGTTGATGTGTTTCTGTGCTTTTAAAATTCATTGCTAGTTTCTAAGGCATCATACTGATTTTGTCTTCTAATAGCTGTCTCTTTTACCCTTAAAATCAGGCACTTCCTCTAAAGTTTATCTTTCAGTTCCTTCTTCTCATGTCTCTTCCTAGATCATCTCAACTACTACTAAACTACAACTTCCATGCAGATTAATAAATCCATACCTCTAATTTTGGGTCCTAGAATTTTAGACTACACTTAGTCTTCCAACCTGCTGCTGGATATTTTATACACTGCTATCCTACCTGTGGGAGCTCTGGTAGCATAATGGCTAAGACACTTGCCTGCTAACCAGACGGCTGGCGGTTCAAACCCACCAGCCACTCCTCGGAAGGAAGGTTGGGCAATCCTACTTCCGTAGTGATACTGCCTCGGAAACCCAAGGAGGGGTCGCTATGAGTCGGGTTTGACTCGAGGCACATAACAACAACAACATTCTACCTGTAACTCAAACTCAGTCATATTAAAACCAGAGATTTAGTTTCTCCCTAGTCTTGCTTCCTTGTCCCCCTGTGTCAGTCAATGGCATCCTCCTCCTCCAAGCAACTTAGAGTAGAAATCACGAGTCGCTTTTGCTTCCTGCCTCTCCTTCATTGCCCACAGTAAATCAGATGAAGTCCCTTTGAGCTCCCATCACTGAGTCTCTCGTGCTCATTTCCTTTCCAGCACTGCTGCTCTCCTCCAGAAACTTACCATCTTTACTTTGAATGATCACAAACCAAACCAAAACCAAACTTACTGCCATTGAGTTGATTCCAACTCATAGCAACTGTCACTGGGTTTCTGAGGCAGTAAGTCTTTACAGAAGTAGATTGCCCCATCTTCCTTCCAGGGAGTGGCTAGTGGGTTTGAATCTCTAACCTACTGGTTAGCAGTCAAATGCCCTAGGCACTGCACCACCAGAGCTCCTCACAGTAGTCTCTCAATCAGGACTCCTAGTCTCTAACCTTTGCCGATCTACTCTTTACACTGTCAACCAAAGTCATTTCAAACACAAGTCAGATCATGAGTGTATTAGTTTCCTATTGCTGCTACAACAAATTACCACAAACTTAGTGGCTGAAAACAACACAGATTTATTATCTTATAATTCTGGAATTTGGAAGTCTTAAAATCAAGGTGTTGGCAGGGTGGCTTTACTTCTAGAAACCCTAGGGAAGAATTTGTTTTCTTATCTTTTAAAGCTCCTAGATAATTGCCTACATTCCTTTGCTCATGATCCCTTTTTCCATCTTCAAAGTTAGAAGCGTAACATCTCCAAATCTTTCTCACTGACTTTGAGTCTCTTGACTCCCTCTTACCTAGACCCCTGTAATTATACTGGGCCCATGATCCAGATTGTCTATGACAATTTCTCTGTCTCAATTTCCTTAACTTAAAAATACCTTTAAAGTCTCCTTTTCCATATAAGGTAACATACTCACAGGTTCTAAGGATTAGGATGTGGAATCTTTGGGGAGCCACTGTCTACCAGACTGGTCATTCCTCTGTTGAAAATCTTTTATGTGTGAATCCCCAAATTTATGAATGAGCACATGATTTCTTAGGGAAGTTCAGAGGTCCTTCAGGAACTTGATTATAATCTACTCATTCAATCTCATTCCCATACAACAATTCATGTATGCACCTGTTAGCTAACGTGAAAGTTATTAAAGATAGAGATGGGATTTATTAAAACTTTATAACACTGGCACACAAGTGTCAAATAAACATTTGCTGAATCAACTTATCTGACATTCCCAAATCCCATACCAACTCACACTGTGTCTTTGCCCATTCAACACCTGCCAGAATATTACTGATCTATTAAATTCCATCTCTTTATGAACTTGCTCACTTTTGCTCAAGTTCATTTTTTCCTTGACATTTTGATCAAATACCTGAATCTGTTAACTACTGTCTGAATGACTACAGAGTTCACTGGCAATGTAACATTGGCCTATAATGGCGTGGTGCACTATTTTTGTCTTCCCTACAATATCATAAACTCCTTAGTTTCAAGGATTACTCATCTAGTTTTAATAGCTCCTGCCTGGGCTAGCATGGTACCAGAGCATATGTACTGTTGACTGACCTATAAAACTTAAAAAAAAAAAAAAAAAAAAAAAAAGTATGACTCTAAAATCCTGAACTACAAAATTATGTAGCATAAGATACTTTTATTTTCTCCTGAACCATAGATATGGTTCTGAAATAAATCATATGTTAATATGTCTTTCAATTACAGGTATGGAAAAGGACACCGACAACTTGGCAGAGCCCACTTTACCTATTAAGACCTTTCGTGGAATTCCCCAAAATTCTTTTGAAGAGTTTCCCTTTTCGGCCATAGAAGGCTGGACGGGACCCACCATAACTGTAAAAAACAAGTGTTCTGATGAAAGTGTTTCAAATCTCCATGTGAACAATGCTACCATGGTGTACCTGAAAAGCTCCTTAAGCACCAAACTGATACCTGCCATCTATATCCTGGTGTTCGTGGTTGGTGTGTCAGCCAATGCAGTGACCCTGTGGATGCTCATCTTCAGGACCAGGTCCATCTGTATGGCAATCTTCTACACCAACCTGGCCATTGCGGATTTTCTTTTTTGCATCACACTGCCCTTTAAGATAGCATACCATCTCAATGGCAACAACTGGGTGTTTGGGGAGGTCATGTGCCGGGCTACCACTGTCATCTTCTATGGCAACATGTACTGCTCTATTTTGCTCCTTGCCTGTATCAGCATTAGCCGCTACCTGGCTGTTGTCCACCCTTTCACTTACCGGGGGCTGCCTAAGCGTACCTATGCCTTGCTAACATGTGGATTAGTGTGGGTAACAGTTTTCTTATATATGCTGCCATTTTTCATCCTAAAGCAGGAGTACTACCTTGTCCAGCCAGATATCACCACCTGCCATGATGTCCACAATACATGCGAGTCTTCATCTCCCTTCCAAATCTACTACTTCATTTCTTTGGCATTCTTTGGATTCTTAATTCCATTTGTGGTCATCATCTTCTGCTACTCAGCCATCATTAGAACACTTAATGCATATGATCAGAGATGGTTATGGTCTGTGAAAGCGAGCCTCCTCATCCTTGTGATTTTTACCATTTGCTTTGCTCCAAGCAACATTATACTCATTGTTCACCACGCTAACTACTACTACAACAACACTGATGGCTTATACTTTATCTATCTCATAGCTTTATGCCTCGGTAGCCTGAATAGTTGCCTTGATCCATTCCTGTATTTTCTCATGTCAAAAATCACAGATCACTCTACTGCTTACCTTACAATGGTAAAACCATCTTAGAGAGCCATGTGCGAAAATATACGTTCTTGGGCTAATATACACATAATGCAAGGAGCTCTATCTTATACTTACAAGTAAGTATTCCTAAGAAAAAGTGCTTCAAAATCAAACACAACAAAAGCATTTTTTTAAGTACTTTATCAGTATTTTAAGACTATAATTCAAGAGGAAAGATTTCACCACTCTTTTTACGGTAACTTACACATTTCCATTTGTCTGCTCGTATTTTAAATCTGTACATCTCCAAATGAAATTCTCTTCTAGTTTTTTTCTCCTCCCTACTTCTGTGAGTGGCATCACCACCACTGAAAGCTGGCATCACATTTTAGTCTTCTGCCTCTTTTGGCTTTCATGCTGGAGGATGATTCTATCTTTATAACTCCTTCTAGGTTTGTAATGTCTCTCACTAGGACCCTTTATCCTAGTCCCACCTTTGCCTTCTAACCATTCTCCTCACTGCCAACCCGCCCTCCATTTCACAAGTAACTGCCAGACTAATCTTCCTCAAATATAATTTAAATACATCACTCAACAACGCCAGCTAGAAATCTCTCATTAACTCTATAGTGCTTCTGAATAAATCTTGATTTCTCTTCTCTCTGCCCCTGCCTCTGACTAGAAAGCTAATTCTATCATCTTTGCCCCAATTCTATCCAACTCTTAAAGTCCTCAAAGGACCCTTTTTCTTTGATTCTCAAGCTAGAAGTGCCATTTTTCTCACCTAAACTTCTGGAGTACTTCCTTACACTTTTAGTGCGGCACATATAAACAGCTCATTTATAAACAAATCGTAATTCCATAAAGATACACTAAGTACTATGTGTACAGTTGGAGAAGATGCTTGTCCTCTCCCTTCTTTGAGCTCTGTGACAACTCTAGGTTGAAGTCTTCTGAGTCTGTGTGGGCCCTAGCTTCATGCTTTGCTCATCATACTGCTGAATCAATGAATACAATCCCAAAGCATCTAAACAGCATGGAAGCCTATTAAAATCATACTGAAAGGGCAAAGTGGCCTGTCTTGCTTGGGACAACATCAATTCTGGTTGGACATGTAAAAAAAAAAAGTAAGGAAGATAAAAATATACTCATAAGGGCATTTCAAAATTTAAAATAACCCTTCCACTGTCTGTATATAATTCTTAACAGGAAAAGCTATATTTTGTTATAAATTCCCAGTATATTACTATAGGTGAACAGGTATGTTTCCCTTTGCATATGGATTAGATGGAAGGTGGGGTATTGGTGGTTAAGGGTCTGGTGGTATTACTGAATGTGAATGAGGTTAAGGAAGTCTTTACCTGTGAAGAATTGTGGAAATGCATTTACATTTACAGTAGAAATTTGCACTGACCATATACTTTGTAATAACCATAAACAGAATGAAAAAAAAAAAAGCCCAAATTTGTATTTGTGAATGGGTAGAGGTGTCTAAGTTCTTTCATATCTATCTCACTGGACTTAGGAAAAAAAGTTGCACATGAAGATCCTTTACAGTAAGTGTGTGGTTACACAAAAAATGAAAATCAGGTAAACACTAATGCAAGAAAGAAAAATCTGAAATAAGTTTTAAGATGACAAAAGCATCATTGGAAAGGTTTTTTTTTGAAAAAAAAAAAAGTCATTAACCATAATACAATTTTACCTAGCGGAAAAATACAGCAACATTTGAATCATATTACATGTTTATGGAGTAACCATATAAGTAGCAAAATAGAATGTTTTTTGGGGGATATAATTCGTATGCTCTGAAGAGAAGCTTCTATTTAAAAATAGCTCACAAGAGAAGGCCTCTAGGGAACAGGCATAGAACGTGTGGTCTACTCTACTAAGTGTACTCCAGCATCCCTGTCTGGCATCTTCTCCCTCAAGAGACAATTGGAATCAAGTAAAACGAAAGGTAATACTTGAAATATTGTTAAAGGGGACTGAGAATTCACACTAACTTAAATCACAATCCTCACTGAGTATCTATTCTCTGAAGATGCTACTCATCATGACCTTTCATGGTTATGTACTTTGACACAAGTTTTACTTTTTATAGGCAGTCCCTGAGTTAGGAACAAGATCCATTCCTACCTGTGTCTTTAGTCTAATTTGTAGTTAAGTCAGAACAGGTGCAAAGAGTTTTTATTTAGCCTTACTTTCTGCTCTTTCCAATGGGGTTGCTGAGTCTGAATCAACTTGATGACAACGGGCTTGGTTTGCTTTTTCAGTGCAAGAAAAAGCTTGAAGGCTTTTTAATTATTTAAAAGCTGCACACACAGCAAGTGAAGGTGATTGTGATGAAGCATTTGTTTGTAGTAAGGGTTGGTTCAGAATGAGGGCAACTTTGCATCATATTAAAGGGCAAGGAAGAGTTGTCTGTAAGATGGACATTCATAACCCAAAGATCTGCTGTACTGACAAAACCAGTAACATGATTCACTTCTGTCTATTATTTTCCAAGCCCAGATGTGGAAGGCAAGACACAAACACACAACCATTAACACAAGTGGAAATTTCCGGGTATCAAAATAGCAGAGATTAAAAAACAAAAACAAAAGACCCTGCCAAAAGACACCATAATCAGACTTTTTTTTCAGGAAAAAGAACAGGCTGAGAAAAAGCTTCAAAAGCAATGTGCTGGAAAGGAAAACTGTGCTTAAAAATAACAACTTAACCAAATATGATTCATCGCTTGGAAGGGTAGTGTTTTAAATCTGTTGGCAAATTGCCAACATAGTCTAAGCTGCTAACTTTAGAGACCAGAAATGGTTAAATGGGTGTGTATCCTATTCCTATGCACATGGAAATGGAAGTATGTTTTCATTTGACAATGTACATATTAAAGACTGTTCAAGATAGATCCACTCATCCTTTTTATTAGTTACAGAGTATGTCACAATGGATATACTACCATTTATTTAACTAGCCCCCTCTTGATAGGTATTTTGGTTGTTTCTGGTCTTTTTCTACAACAATGCTGCAATCCATACCCTTTTCCATTTGCCTTAATGCACAATAACTTACACTTTTGAATTAGATGGTTTTCAGACTTAGTTTTTAGATGGCTTTGGACAATTTGATTAACCTTGGTTTTATCATCTGTAAGATGGCAATAATGTTACTTAATTCATAGGCTGTAAGGATTAAATGAGATAATATACATAAAATATATATCATGTCTGATAAAGAGTTCCTACTCAAGAAATGTTCGCTTTAGTCAAAAATATTTTTCCCGTTGCAGATGAGGCAGTTTCTGGGTTCCTAATATGTATAAAGGGGTGATACCCACCCCTTTCAGTTTGGCCTGAATTGAGATATATCGCAGCCACAAGTAGCTGGGTGTCCTGCAGCATCACTCCTACCCTCAGGTGACAGGTCACACAAGCCCCAGCCCAGTATCTTTGAAACAGTGGCCAATATCTGTGGAACTCCTCAAAACATCATTATAAGTACTACAGCCAGATCAAATCCACTATTCTTCAAGAAGACCACTGCTGGGTCAGTTTCCTCCCGTGCACAGAAAATAACATACTAGTACCCACCTAAAAACCATAACCAAACACACTACCATCGAGTCAGACGTGACTCATAGCATCCCCTCCTTGGGTTTCCGAGGCAGTATCACTATGGAAGTAGATTGCCGAACCTTCCTTCCAAGGAGTGGCTGGTGGGTTTGAACCTCCAGGCTTCTGGTTAGCAGTCAAATGCCTTAGGTACTACACCACCAGAACTCCTAGTACCCACCTAGAACTGCTATAATCTGCTAATATCTCTGTTACTTGCCTGCATCATTCTGCTCTCCACCTATCTAACCAACTCTTCCTTATCCTGCAGGCACAGCTTCTGTTCTATTCCCATGCCAACTTCTCTTTGGATTCTAGTCCAACCATCTAATTCCAACCATCTCTTAACCCCCCTGTGTCACGCTCATTTTGACACTTTGCCAGATACTAATCTCTACTGTTAGTTAAATATTCTTTATGCGAATGCCCACTGCCATTTCTAAGCATCTTGATGGTAAGGACAAAACATTCAAATGGTGTGTATTCCTCCGTATCCCTTTCTTCCCTACCAAATGTTATATACTGGGGTATGCACATGGTGTGTACTCAATAAATATCCAATGAATTGAACTCTGAACAAGAACCCACTCACAACTAAGTTTTTAGTTAAAGACTAGAAGCAGTCATCAGTTCTGCACCTGACTTCTCCCTAATGCTTGGCACCAGAAAAAAAATATCAGCCCTATTAGTTCTATTTGGATTAATAAGTAATCACTGGGACAAAAAGATCATAAGCTTTAGGAAAAATGAGTCAAAAATCCACCCACCCAGGCCTGTAAGTTGATAAGGAACAACACGCACATTAAGACTTACCCTGAGTTTCTGCAATTTAGCCTGGTATAATACGTCCTGGTAGTGCTGAGCAAAGTTTGGGTCAACATTTCTAATCTTAGCGGTAGGTAACAGCAAGGTGTCTAAAGTCTTCAAAGGATTTCCCTCATCAATAGCTTCATTGATATATCCTACAGCTACAATTCCTAGAAAATAAAGAAAAAGTTTTCCTTTAAAATCATAGTACATTATAAATATTCCAAAGCCATTTACTGTAAACATCAGATTATAGAGAGGGAGACCACCAAAAAACTATTAGAGCTAATAAATGACTATAGTAAGTTGGCAGGACACAATCAGTATACAAAAATCAACTGTATTTCCATATGCCAGCAATGGGCAATATGAAAATTAAGGAAACAAATCCATTTACAATAGCACACACAAAAATAACACACTTAGGAATCAATTTAATAAAAGAAATGCAAGATACTGAAATTATACAACATTGTAAAAAAAAAAATTAAAGACCTAAATAAATGGAAAGACGTCTGTGTTCTTCAACTGGAAGAGTTAATGTTAATAAAATGACAATAGTCCTCAAATTAATATACAGATTCAAGGTAATTCTTTTCAAAATCCCAGTTGGCTTCTTTTACAGAAATTAAGAAGCTGATCCTAAAATTCATATGAAAATGCAAAGAACCAAATAAAGTCAATGAGATACCACTTCCTACATACTAGGATGGATAGTGAGTGTTGGTAAGGATGTGGACAAATTAGAAACCTCAGCCATTGCTGTTGGAAAGCAAAATTGTCCAGCCACTATAGAAAACAGGCAATTCCTCAAAATATTAAACAGAGTTACTATATAGCCCAGTAATTCCACTCCTAGGCATAGCTCAAGAGAACTGAAAATATGCCTACACAAAAACTTGTACATTGATGTTTATAGCAACGTTATGCATAAAGGTCAAAAAGGAGAAACAATTCAAATACCCATCCACTGATGAATAAACACAATGTATATCCACACAATGGAATACTATTTGACCTAGAAAGGAATATGAAGTAATGATACATGATACAACATGCATGAATCTTGAAAATATTAAATTAAGTAAAAGAAACTGAAGACAAAAGAGCACACATTACAAGACTGCATTTATATGAAAGGCCCAGAATAGATAAATACATAAACATAGTAGATTAATGATTGTCAGCGGAGGGGGAGAAGGGAAATAGGTGAGGAGTGACTGCTAATGGGTCTAGAGTATTGAGGAAAATTTTCTGGAATTAGATAGTGGTATAACTTTTTACATATACCACCAGCCACTCCTCGGAAGGAAGGTTGGGCAATCTACTTCCATAGTGATAACGCCTCAGAAACCCAAGGAGGGGTCGCTATAAGTCAGTCCGACTGGATGGCAAATAACAACAACAAAAAACCCCGCTAAGTTGTGTGCTTTAAAAGAGTAAATTTTATGGCATGTCAATTGTATCTCAATAAAGCTGTTATGAAAAGAGGAGGAAATAACTTTGCATACAGGAAGCAGCACGGATGCTAATTTCTAGTGCAATCCTCACTCAGATATTAGATAGTAATGCTAAGACATTAGGTGATGGAACCACAGAATACCAGAACTGGAAGAAAATAATGTAGAGATTATACAGAAAACTGATATATAGTTCTGAGTATAGATTCTAGTCTCTGGATTACTCTACTCGCCACTCTGTAACGGATGTCAAAACAAAGATAGTTCCAAACCAAACAACTCCCTACAGTGTTAATGAACAGGAGAATGACTTTCCAGGTCAGTACAGTCCAGCTGTCCAGGAAAACTTCCTGCTATGATGGAAATACTCTATATCTCTGTGCTGTCCAACATGACAGCCACTAGTCTGGATGTGACTACTGAGCACCTGAAATGTATCTAGTGTGACAGAGAAACTGAATTTTAAATTTTATTTAATTTTAATTATTTTAAATTTAAATATCCACATGTGGGTAATACCTATATTGTTGGAAAAATATAGGTAGGCTCATGGAAATAAATATAGTCATGCATGTTTTGGGAAACTTTTAAGGTTAAGTTCAGCTAATCAGTTTCCCGATATTGTTTCTATAACACCATGTAGCGAAATAACCCTAATTCACAGATGCACCAAAGGATCAATAAGTATATCCACCAATTTAATTTTCTATCACACCTAAGGCTCTTAGGATATAAACCATAAAGTTCAGGAATGAAAAGGACAGAAGCCAAGTAATAGAATCTGAAGTTTTGAAATTCTAGCAAAATGGATCGACCTGGAAGCTATTTCACAACATTAAGGACCCTTGATGGCACAGGGGTTAAAGTCCTCAGCTGCAAATGGTCAGCAGTTCAAACCCAGCTGCTCTGTAGGAGAAAGATGTGGCAATCTGCTTCCGTAAAGTTTATTGGAAACTCATTGGGGCAGTTCCACTTTGTCCTATAGGATAACTAAGAGATGAAATCAACTCCATGGCAATGGGTTTAGCCTCAACATCACCTCACTATTAAAAAAATTATCACCCAGTCATAAAAATAATATATTGTGTGTGTATATCTACCCATGGGTGCACACACACACGCACATGTACACACATATACAGGTATGTATCACTGTCCACAATATGCTCCATGAAATAGGATGTTATGGGATTTGGACATTGTGTGAACACCACATTATATACAAGAGAGTCATGCAGGACCTTTATCTGGTGAGCCCAGGACATACACTGCTGCAGCCATGCCAAGGGACTGTATGAAAACTTCAGTTCATCACTGTTGGTCCTGCAAGGCTGCTGCACAGTGTCTACCAACCATGCTGGTCCCCACTTGTCCACCATGCTGTGCATTCCCTTCCAGCTGGCAATCTCCTAGCCCACCACCACCAGCTCTCTTCCTTCCTTCTTCTCTGCCTGCCTTCCTCATCCGCCCTTGATGGGCTTTAAACTCTTTCAGCCCTGCCTACTCCACCTCTGTCTCTTTCCCTGGCCACTCTTTCTGCTCCTCCTCCTGCCACTGCCACAGCCTGAGGGCTGCCACCATAGGAGCCATGGCTTCAGGCCTGGGTGTCAACACAGAGTGCTGAGTGGGACAGTGGCCTCAGTGGAACATACCTCCTCAGTGGCTCTGGTGGTATCTGCATGGCCCCTGCCTGAAGTGAGTGTAGCAGGACAGGCAACCATGGATGGAAGCCAAGACCTCCTCCCCCTGCCATCCCAGGGCTGGGGTTGGTGCAGGGCCTAGAGAGCTAGTGAGAGACAGATCAGATCTCTGTACTTAGCAAAGTACTTCGGCTGTGTTCTGTTTTCCCGTCGGGATTTCTGAATTCTATCATAACTTTAAGGAGTTTTGGTGGCACAGTGCCTAAGGCAGTTGATTGCAAGCTAGAAGGCTGGTGGTTTAAACCTACCAACCACTCCACAGAAGGAAGATGAAGAAATCTACTTCCATGAAGATTTGCTACCTTGGAAACTCAATGGGGGTCGCTGTCAGAATTGACTCAATGCAGTGGGTTTTGTTTTGTTTTTTATTATAATCTTATGAGACCATAGACATATATACATTTGGATGTTACCTGAAGAGACATGAAGTGACATATATCCCTATGCAAACACAATACATATACAGGTAATCCCTGGATTACGAATAAGTTCCATTCCTAAATTTGCCTTTCAGTTAAATTTGTATGTAAATTGGAATGGTTAGGCATGATTTATATCTATTGTCAGTCAAATGTTATCTTACTATATAGCATGTAGTGTACATTTCTGTAAATAAAAACATTAAATAAACATTTCCAGGTACACCAAAATATCTTTAACATAATGCAGTAATAATAATGTTTCTATGAGTGTCAAGAAGTAGTGCCCCTTTGTTATTATGAACCAGTGTATGTACCTTGATTTTTAATCTAACAGGCTTCACACAAGTTGGTTTGTAACTAAAAGTTGTACATAAGTTGGACATTTGTAACCTGGGGACTGCCTATGTGCACACACACATGTCCACACACACATACTAATAGGGTGGCTTTTACTTCTCAGGTTAGTGCTGTTAGACAAGAAATGATAATGAAACTAAACATAAACAAGCTTAGAAAATAAACATTCTTAAAGCCAAAATTATTTCTCATTTTGTCAGTATTTTTTGGCAAGAACGATCATGTCACTTTATAAATGCTATATGATAAACTAAATACTTCTAATTTAAAAAAATTTCCATTTTGACATTCAAAATACTTAGCTAAATATTTTCTGAGTAGATGATCCCATAAACATCACATTGCTAAGAATTAAGATTTATCTATACAGGCTGTTCCTGGGTTACAAATGAGATCCATTCCTAAGTGTGTCTTTAAGAATTTGCAGGTAAGTCCGAACAGGAGTACAGGTGTATATGATTCTTATTTAACTTTACTTTAGAGCAAGAAAAGGTGGGAAGCCTTTTCAATTATTTAAAAAAGCTGCATGGGCAGCAAGTCAAGGTGACTGTGATAAAGATTTTGTTTCCAGTAAGGGTTGGTTCAATCATTGCAAAGTGAGAACAAATTTACATAACATTAAAGGCTAAGTCGAGCATAACACAGGGACTTACTGCAAAAGGAAAGAGATGATCTAAAACCCCTAGATATTACTCTGCATATAATACTTGTTTGAAGAATAAGAGAAACCATTTCTCTTACACGCAAGTACAATAATATCAAAACACTGGGAGAACTCTGAAAAGTCTAAGTACGATACACATGCCAAGGTATTATCATTTCAAAAGCATGGAATACTTCATGTCATTCTCTGGACACCCCCTTGGATAGAATATTCTAAATACTTTTAAACATCCTATCTGAAAATGGTCCTTACAGAACTATGTCCTAGAAAAAGAGAATGTGTGCTCTAAATGGCTGATCACCTGGGAATGAGTGCATTCCAGCTGACTTGATTGAAATCACCTGCTTAAGTTTTTGTTTGGTATGCTTGTAAGAACACAAGCTGTTGAGGTCATAGTAAATGACCTCATAGGAGCTGAAAGGCCTACCCAGAAGCCCCCTGGGCACATCTGCATCACTTCCTCTATTTATAAGTAAAGGGGAAATCCATTTCAACCACAATTACTGAGCCTCAGCCCACTCAACTGATGTGTGATAATAACATTCTAGTCCAATGAGAAAGTAGGCATTCTCAGAGTTCATGTAATCAAGACAGTGCTATCTTACAAAGAGTGGTACCTACCAAGTTTGGGAATCAGTCAGAGAGTCAAATGAAAAAAATCTTCCTTGTCTCATCTGCATGGTTAAAATAATGTTTCCTTACAGCTCTATGAAGGAGCTTTGGTTGGAGCAGTGGATAAGGCATTTGGCTGTTAACCAGATGGTCAGCTGTTCAAACCCACCAGCTATTCTGTGGGAAGAAGATGGGGGTAATCTACTTCTGTGAAGATTTACAGCCTTGGAAACCCTATAGGGTTCACGATGAGTCAGAATTGACTCCATGGCAGTGGTCTTCAAATGTTGGAACATAAAATTAATAGGATTCCTCAATTAAGAAAGGATGGTAATTCATATGGTTTTCAGGGAAGTCGAGTTTTAAATACACATTACTTTCTATCAGTGTCACTGAGATGACAGTGAAACCACAATTATCCAGCACAGAGAAATAACACACCTTCTTCTTTTCCTCATGTAAGCTGGACACATAGAAGTCACCAAAGCAGACCTGGACTGTGGAGACTGCCAAAAGGAATTGGGGGAAAAAGTAGAAAACAAGAGGGACATGATTCTTTGTTTTGCCTACCCACAAGGAGGGGTTCTATACTATCCAAACCACTACTACAGGAGACTCAGTGTGTGGAGCTGGGGGTCAGGGAGAAAGGCAGGAAGCAGAGGCTGGGACTGAGCTCTGACAGTACATGCTAATATGGATGCCATTGTTTTTTTCACCCTCGATGACACTGAACATGTATGCTCCAATTAGAGCTTCCCTCTTGACTAACATCTGGCAAGAATCACAAGCTCCCCAGCCAATGTGTCAGAAAAGAGCTAAGTGGGTTGTCTGCAGACCATCTGTGAAGAGGGATTCCAAAAGGCCTCATTGAAAAGAAATTCAAACAGGCAGCAGAAAGCTGAGTGGAAGCAAAAGAGGAAATTTAGATTTGTACACAACTTGACAAGGACAATATTAAGAAAGTGTCAAGGAAAGTTTAATTATGCAATTAATTAATGCAGTGTAGTAAATTACTTAGTATGGCTTTTCTACCCATAAGTCATTGTAAACTCAGTGGTGGAATGAGCAACTGGGGAGCTCCTGATTGTAAATGTTATCCACGTGGTGTATTTCTGTTGGGCGTGGCACAACGCAATGTTATGGGAGGCTCACTCTCAGGTGCTTAGAGCTC